ATAGGTGTTCATTTACAAGTTGAATGTATACGTTAAGGCAGAATAGCTCCATAAAGATGGGTTGAAATTCCTACTTGACCACCTCTGGTTTGCAGGTAAAAGATCCAACTTTGTGTGTCTCTGGATCCTACAGTGTTCTAAGAAGTGGAGACAAGCTAGGACTTCCTGTAAGAGGCTGATACAGGGACAGATCCATTTCTGGGGACACTACTCTGTACCCTGAAGGTTTTATGCTGTTTCTGTGTCTAAATAATAAATACCAACCCCCTCTTCAAGAGGATTGCATATGGGGAACAAGGAAGTAAACCATGATGCTAAGTGATGGGGTGGATGAGTCATAAAATACCTGGAGAGCACAATGGAGTACTCAGCTAGCTCTGCTGCTCTGGAGAAGAGAGGCTTTTGCTAAGATGTGGAATTCTGAGAGACATTTAAACAGGGAGGTTTCATAGACTACAGACTAGTCAGTGAAAGCTGGATATTTTTTCTCTGTATAAAGTGCAGCAAAAACTACAAGTGTATAATCAAAACAGGGAAATTCTGTTCCCATATTGCATGGGAAAATTGTTCCAGATTTCCCTAGTCAGAAGAGTTATTATCAAGAAAACGGGAGAGAACAAATTCTGGCAAGAGTGCGAGGAAAAGGAAGCCTTATTCACTGCAACTGGAAGTGGGAACCGGAAGAGACACTGAAAATCAGTGTGAGGGTTCCTCAGAAAAGTAAAAAAGAGAATGAATCAGGACAGGCCTTAGGATCTTTCAGCATACTGATGGCTTGCTGTTAGTCCAAAGACTCTAAGCATCTTAGACAAAGCAACATCACTAGTGACTAATGGGACTATCAAGTGACAGACCCAGGGATTGGTCACTGTTATACATCATCTCCAAAGCGTTTCTATGAATAAAACCAGGGGGCAAATGTGCAAGCCCCCATTCTGAGCAAATTATGAAAAGGCATATTTATTTCATTGCCACGTGTCAGTCATTAGTTATCAAACTGGGGATTCTCTAGGTTTTGTGGAAATGGAAAGCTCTTGTTTGGGGCCAGTCCAGAAAATGTTCATAGATGCTGAGTACAGGCACCGAGATCCAAAGAGGAGTTACAGATGATTCCAAGATTTTTGGCCTGGGATAACAAGATTTCATTAACTGCAATGGGGGAAAAGGGTCTCATAGGTGTAGACACATGGAAACAAAGGGGACTCTGTAGAATCCCCAACAGAGACGTCAAGATGGCTATTAACATGGGGTGTTGGAGTTGGTGATTGAGTTCTTGATCAACTGGTTCTTAAAATTTTTGATTGTCATAAGATGTTACATATTTTAAATATTACTTTTGCCAGGATCTATTAACTTGTGTGCAGTTGCCCATCTTTCCCATTTAATACACACTGTACATCTGCAGGCTTTTTTTTTTTTTTACTAAAAATCTACTTTGATCATATAATTGCCATGTTTCAGGCTCTTTGACAGAAGGTCAAAAGTACTTACTCTGAAATTGGAAGTATTACATAGTTTCTATTGCTAGACTTACATGCGTGAACCCTCCTCTAGTCAAAAATGGGCTCCTTAGACACTCTGTGCATGGCTCTGGCCATCTCTGTAGTGTTTATTAAGTTGTCCTTTTATTGCACAACCTCTCAGCTTTCACCATCTGTACAATCCTGGACATTGGGTCCTTCCATGACTATTAATAGCGGGGAAGGGGCAACCACTGTTCTGAGCTATTACTTGCTTTAATGGCACTAGCACTTTTCTGGCTTCCACTTACAATCCAGTTTACATATGTGTATCGTACCCAAGTGTGCATAAGTTCATGTACATATACTTGTAAATATCTGTAGACACACACACACATGTATTGTGTATGTAAATGTCATTACAAGCAGGGATTTTTTTTTAGCTTGCTTTTCTTCAGAACTCATTAATTTTCAAGAGCGTAGTGAGTGATACAAATTATGGATGGCCGTTTTCATTTCTCATGTCATCTGCTTCATTGACCCAAACATCATATTGTGATCATTACCCAAGGTTTTATTTGTGCTATCACAGCCAGTGTAGAAAAAAGATGCTACCACTATCCCATTGCATAATGTTGGAGTTGAGCCTCGAACTGCTGAAGCATCTTGCCCCATCACAAGTCATGAGTGACAGAGCTGAGGTGTGAAGCCAGACAACCTAACACCACAACTGGAACGTTTGTCCCTTCCAGCTCCTCTCTCCCTTATAAAGATAGTGCACATGCCTCAGCATCCACACACATGGGTTCAGAAAGCAGAGGTGTTAAAAGAAGTCTGTTCCTTTGGCCTGTCAAAGAAAGCCTCCAGGCATCAGTAGACATGTGAGCTTTCTTCTCAGGCTAATTGTGAGAGAATTACTGTCAGTACCAATGAGAGCTGCAGATTAGTGGCTGGTAATTCCTGAGGTTAATTTTCTCCTACCTAAGATATTGTTGTAGCAATTTCACGATTGACGAATCTTTAAAATTGCTTTGGAAACATGGAGGTGACATTTGAGTTTCTCTGAAAGTCACCTCAGTGGGTGAAACTTCTCCTGAAAGAAAAGGTGACTGGAAGCCACACCTAGGAGGAGGGGGAGCCAAGGCCCTGAGGCCTGAGGAGCAAAATCCTCTCTTTTCATTCCTGGAGCAGGCCTACTGAAATTCCTGTTTTCTTCTACAAAAGTTGTTTATTCATACGTATTGGGACTGATAACTCATAGAAACTCAGTTTGCTATTGAGCTGTACAGCAGAAGAGATGGAGGAGTCGTGATGAGAACTGCAAGGCTGTAGGATTTGGCATGATAAATGCCATCATACCTCATGCAAGGAGCATGCATATGCATCAGGATGCCATGGCAGGGAAGACCCCAGGGACAGAAATGCAAAGGATAACATTTGAAGAAAGTGTTAGTGGGTTAATGTTGCTGAATCTACTGACTAGTATGACCTAACACAGAAAAGCATAAAGAACGTTTAACCACATGCCTCTTACTCTGAGTATGCGTATGGGGGGGGGGGTTGTGGGGGGTCAGGGTGTATGCATGTGTATTGGTGAAATTATTAAGGCCACTCCACATAGTTAAAGGGAGATTTATTTAATGGCATAACTTACAAATTAAGGGATAGGTAGGTCGCGGAGTCTGGGGAAGGTGTATCACAGTCCAGCGGTGTTCTCTGGAGCTCTGCTCGGTCCACCTCCACTATCCAGGGTCCCGCAACAGAGAGCGCGCCCACCGATCCAGATCTCGGGTCCCCCGGCGCCTCCCTTGGCCCCGCCTTGTAGGCGTGACAGTTGCCGAAGTCTCAATGGGGGTTGGAACTTCCAGATCAAAGCTGGAATGGCTACCCACTACACATGTGTGTTAGAATAAAATTACTTTTATATTAAGGATATTCTTTATTTTTTGATGAGCATGTCTTGGTGTGGATAACATTCAGTATCTGTTTCTATCCTCTAAACTGAGCACGTGCCATAACTTTTACCTTTAGAACTCTGCAGGAACACATTGAATCCCACGTGCATTTTTGGATATTGCTCTAAGGCAACACACTCTTTCCCTCATCTTCAAAACAGATTCCCCAAATAGCAGGAGGTAAACAAATGTGCTTATAGAAATCTACAAATTTAGAGTGTAGCATAGTGGATATTCACCAATTTACTCATTAGCAAGATATGTTGAATATGACTAGGGCAGTATGCATGCTGACATGAATACGGGAACAAAGAAATGCACAACTAAAGTGCTTGGTGAAGGGCTCCCTCTGGTTGGGAAGAAAAAAGAGATAAACTCAGAAGGCAAGGGAGGCACTGGCTAGGTTCTGTGTTCACCAGTTACATGGGGGATGTTATGAAAGGGCAAGTTCAAAATCACAAGGCAAAGGTGAGAACGCTCATTTCAGGATGTAGCAGTCATTCGGTATGGCGAAACATGGAGTAGAGTAGGGGAGGTGAGAGACAGATGGAAAAGAAGAATGGTCAGACCTTGGACACACATCGCGTACCCACAGTTTTTGCTTTAGCCTACCTGTATGTGGGTGTCTCCATGAAAGGCTCCAGTCACATGCCTCAACCTAAACAAGTCTCCCTTTTCCTTTCAGCAACCCATTCTTTTCTTGTTTCTGTTCCAGAAATTACAGTCCAACGCACATCTCCAATATCTCTGTCTCCACAGCCCTTTCTGTGCCACTTACCTTGCACCATTAGCTGAAAGGTCTGTAAAAGGCAGGAGTCCACCAATTAAGACGGACCAAAATGTTGGAGAAAAATAGATTTAAAGACGTAAACAAGTGCCTTGGTGAAAATTTTGAACTCCGTCTATGAAAAGTTAGTATTTATAAAATCGGAGAGCAAGCTTATCCTTTCTGCCAATACAGAACACGTAGTGTGCAAGCAACACACATTTTATTTTGTAATGGGTTATTTTCTCCTTTTGTTTCTGTAACAGTTGGCAGCACTCACAGGCCGATGTGACTCACAATGCCCTCCCTACACAGCTCAGCTCACATTTAGAAGACATTGCCAGTAAATCACACTGTAGGAAACAAGAAATCAAGCTGTTAAACATCAACGGTGACCTAACTGCTCTGGAAAATACAGTAGATTTATGACAGTTAGGTCACTGAGGAAAAGCTAGGTTTGCCCCAGGCACTCTGAGGGTAGGAACTTCCTCCTGCAGTGGGAGAAAATGCCAGAAAGGAAGAAGCACAATTTACATACACAGCAAGACTAACCTGCCTCAAATCTTAGTCACAGCCTGCCTACTTGAGACACCCTGGGAAATCCCTGTTACATGGAAGCCAATAAATATAGTCAAAGTCACATTTCTCCTCTTACATCCTTGTTCTGTGTGATTTGCATAGAGTCGCTTCTGCTAATGAGAACTTGGTATCTTCTATCCTGAGTTAACAGAGATGTAGGTTTTTCAGGGTTGGAACGTTCTCATCCTAAAAGGTACCACAAGAGGTTTTCTTTTTCTCTTTTTCCTTCTGCCTTACAAGACTCTCCGAAAATCAGCTGGCTCATCTTCCCGGGACATGGCTGCACGGAGCGGGTCAGGAGCTTATACAGAGCATGCGCAGGTAAGAACATGTCAGGATGAGGTGGCCACCCAGAACCAAGAACATAATAGTAGACAGTACGATGATTAACGAGCAGTGGTAGCTGAACCTCCTTCTTCAACTAAGACCTGCCCTGTATTTTAACCAGTGTTGACATATGAAAGGTCACTTGCGACCATTGCACTGCCTTTGTACTCAACTGGGCCAGGCTGCTTCTACTGGATGAGAGAAACAGCTGCATAGATTCCTTTCCCTGTGCTGTGTGCTCTCAATTTCGTTCTTGTATAGAAGAGCTCAGTTCCGTGTAAAATTTGGTAGGAATACTGTAAACATGTGGTTAGAAATAGAACATTTAGCAGTGAATGACTTAAAAGATTAATATATTCAACTAATGCTATAATTTTTGTTCAGTTACTACAATAACATTCACTATTTTAATGAATTAATTATACTTTCTTAATGTTTTACTATATTTTTATTGCTTTATTTTGAATGTGTGCACACACGTGTGCCACAGAGCAACTGTGGAGGCAGAGGACTACCTGCCAGCGTCAGTCCTCTCCTTCTACTGTGTGGGTCCCAGGGAACAAACCTAGTTATTTGTCTTGGTGGCCTGTGCTATTACCCACTGAGCGAACTTGCTGGATTTTTTAAAATTCTTTTTAAAGCGATAACTAAGACATAATGAGAAACTAAGTGGAGTTAATTTAATCCTCTAGATATTTAATTTGCTGTGTTACAACTTGAATATCTTAGCAGTTGACTAGGATGTTTTGGTAGAGGAAGAAATATCCAGACATTTTCAACACAGACTGCATTTCACAGAAAATAATAATAATGAGTTGTTTAGAAGGAATAATTGTTTCATAAGTAGGCCCTTTCTAGAACCCAGTGACTAAATATCTTTGCATGTGCTGTAATATATGATGTCTTTGCTAGCAAGCAAAATGAAAAACAAATGTACACAAAAACTCATGAAAATTTGAATTCCTTTATGTTTGATTGACTCTGCTTAGTTTCATAACATGTATCCAGGGCATACAAACCATGGCACAATACTGATTAATATCTCTAGAAATACGTGGTGATACATTTCTTCCTCATACTCTTCCTAGCCATTGTATTCTTTATTATCTCTTCTCAATGCCTTCTGTCAAAATTACTGTTTCAGAATCTTGTAAGCTAGTACTCTATGGTTACAAGTAGATTTTCTTAGATATCAAGTATAGAAATCTTACTTATAAAATAAAAATCCAGAATCAATGTGTTTTATATTTTTTTTTTTTGCATAGAGAAAATTACCTGGGGGTTAAAGTATGCAAGCAAGACCATGTAAATGTTTGCTACTCACAATTTTTGTATCACAAATAGAACAATTTTAGAAGATCTAAAGTTCACATTTCCAAGCATGATGTTGGGTGTTAAGAAACTTATCATTAGTGGAAATTGTGATGCTCTCTAACTGGAACAGTGCTCAGAGTGCTTTACACTTCCAGGGCTCCCCTCTGATGTTGTCACTCTGTTGGAGGAAAACCACTAGTTTAGTATCAACTTCAGGGCACCTCTGCCTCTCAAAATTCAAAGCATGCTGGGTAAGATGGATTTATAGGACTTTCCAGGTGGAGGCCACTTCATGCTTTATCAGTTCTGATCCAGAATGGGTCCGGTTTCTTAGATCCATCCCCCACAAGAGAAAATTCAATTAGAATGCCTGGCATTGCTGCCACTTAGGTTTTGATGTTTAGCTAAAGGCTTCCTAAGGTAATGAGCTGGTGTATCACCCTGTTTCTTGACTAACAGAAGACTGTCCTTAAAATGTGGTCTGTTGAACCCAACTCTAAATTAAGAGAAATTTAAAAACAAGAACAGTATCTAGTCTGTGTAAGATATTATCAAACCCTGAAATACTGAGACATAAGTTAGAAAACTAGTTTTATAAATTGTTTCCAATGGAAAAAGTCCTTGAAATCCCCAAGTGATTGCCAAGCAGTCACTTCCTCTGACCACTTTTGGTGAAGACCAGTAAGTCTGGACAATGTTTCTTAGTTGTTCATGAATGGCTTTCAGGGTTGTGGTTCATGGTAACTATTGTGCCTGAAGCTAAGCATAGAATTCAGGACCGCCCTGATCATCCCATTCATTGAATTACTTAATGACTTGGATGGGATGTACATAGACTACTGAGTTACAGCAAGGAAGCAGTCTTTTCTGTGAGCTTTCCTGGAGGTCATCCATTTGCTAGATGGTGGGCAGTTTCTAGAACTTTAGCCTCCTCTTTGAATAATTATCTCAATCCCTGTGGGAAAAGTAACTGAAGACAAAGGTTATTAGTTCTCATTATGCTATAATTTATTATTAGTCTAAACTGGTATCTAGTGCCCTGCCCAAAAAGGCTGGCTAAAATACATAGGGCCGGATAATCTCTACCCACTTCTATAACATACGTGTGCCATGGCATAGAGGTAGTAAATTTACTTGTAATTTGTAACCAATTTGATGCATTTTAGCTGTATGTTTTAGTCTTGCTCATTTACAATTTATTAGTGAATTGTTTTAGTAATTAATTAAAATAAATGAATAGTAGATAGTATATCAGGCTGGTACAAAAGCTTGTCGGCTGTGATGAGAATTTTGTATATTAAGTGCTGGGAGTCAAACTCAGGGCCTTGTGCCCACTAAGCATAGGCTGTATCACAAGACACATATCTCTAACCCCCATATCAAATGTTTTTTTACAAAACACAGGATTTGGCTAAATGCATGTTTTTGAAGAACAGAGTCTCTTCTCTTTATTTTATAGGCTGCTTAATCTCAATCTTTTTTTTTGCTTTAATTAAAGTGTGCTCCATCAAGAAGAAAGGACTTGACAAGTTCTCTTGAACAAAAGATAAGGCACTTAGAAAAACAGAGGCAAGAGGTAATGTAGAAATATTGGATAAAGTCATGTAGCCATGTATAAAGCCTGAGAATAAAACAAGATATCCTTAATTTCTTTTATCTCTGTCATTAAATCACAGTATTTATCTCTAGAATACTGAACCACACTATTTTAAGAGAAAAAGCCCTTAAAAATCATGGTTTGTGTGATGATGAATGAAAAAGTGTTGATGTCATAAATGTGGTAATCATAACCCTATTTCCCCAGTTGTTGCTATTTCCACCACTTGCATCATGGAAGCTTATCACTAATGACCTTGCAAACTGACTTATGATGAAATTTGAGTTGTTAAAAAGCTTATGGTCAGTGAATTTAAGTTCAGTGACTTTCTGTGTTGAGCACCTAAATGACTGTGGGTTACAAAACACTGTCTTATGGGCTGGAGAGATGGTTCAGTAAATAAGATACTTGTTGCTGTTGCAGAAGACCCAGGTTCAGTTCCCGGCACCCACATGATGGTTCATAACCATCTGTAACTCCAGTTTCAGGGGGTTTTCTATACCTTCTGTGACCTCTAAGGGCACCAAGCACACATGTGGTTCACATACATGAAGGCCAAACACTCAAACACATACAATAAAAATTAAAAATTGATCTTAAAAAAGCACATTGCCTTAGAAGAAAGATAATTTCTAAAATGTTGCTGGGAATTAGCAGACGCTGTTAGCTGTACTGTGTTCTGCCTCTAATGGGTGTGAGGACTCCTTCCTCTTCTTGACAGAGGAGGTGAAGAGCAAAGTAGATGCATCCCACATTTGGTCCATTTGCTGCCTCATTCTGTGCATTTCATCCTCCTTGTTTTCCTCCTCGGCACCTTCTTCTCTTTGATGATGGGTAATACTGTGTCCTGGAAAATCATTAAACAGTTGCAGAATAGTGTATCTTTGGCATAGTCCTACATGGCAATGGACCGACTATTTTTATAGACTATTATACACTTGAATACTAAGTAACTAAGAGTTTCCACCACAAGCATAATCTAATGACTGCCACTCTGGATTAGAATTTTGTTGTTTTGTTTTGGATTTAAGTAGAAGTTTTGTATTTTTTTTTTTGACACAGTGACTACTCTCTTGATATCTGCTTCATGCTGCTAATTGCTAAGATTTTTTTTCAATACAGAATTGTGAACCTCTCTTACAAGAAAAAGAAATACAGACCAGGATGTTATTTCTTCCTTCTGGCTAGCGGAGAGTTTTAAATGTATTTCTAACTGTCTGATGACAAAAACCATTACTCCTGAAAATCCACAGGTTCAAAAAGATTTTATTGTCCCTTCATCCAGGAAGAATCAAAAATATATCTATAGGCTGTAAAGATGGCTCAGTGGTTAAGAGCACTGGTTATTCTTCCAGGGGATTCAAGTTCAATTCTCAGCACCCACATGGCAGCTTACAACAGCCATTACAGTTCTGCTCCAGTTCCAAGATACCCGACACCCTCACACAGAAGTACATGCAAGCAAAGCACCAATACACGTAAAAATAAATAAATTATAAGAAACAAAGCAAGTAAATAGTAAAATTAAATTTAAAAAATGTCTACATCCCAAAGCATGTCATTGCAAGCAAATGACTGCCAATTAATAGAGTTTAAACTTCAAGATAAATTATTCAAAAAAGCTGTCACAAAAATGCATTTATTAGCCATATTAAACAAACAGGAAAAATATGGAAAGAGAGTCTTCCTATAATAATAACTCTTACAAAAATAAATACTTATAAGGTTTTATCAGATTCTGGTTGAACTAAACAAAGGTGAAACCTAAAATAAGTAAGAAAAGTTGAAAATTTTCTAATAAACATCTCAGCTGACTCGTCAAGCCATGATTTAACACTTAGTAATTGTTTATTCAAGAACCAGTTATGAAAATGTGTCCATCTAAATTGCCTGTGGTAGAGCTGTGGGGGATACAGCCCAGCACTGCTACCTACAGCTTGAGGTATCCCCTTAGCTTGTAGGGACCACCACTCAGAGGAAACCAGATCTTTGGCTTCACCGCAGAAAAGAATTTCTGGATGAGCCAGCATGAACTGGAGTCTATCACAAAGGAAGTTAGACTTACAAGGGGTTAATAGGAAGGGAAAGAATAAGGTACACTCCAGAGTGTGGGTATGGGCTCCTCACAAGAGAGCTGTCCTTATTCTCCTAGTGGTAGCCATTGCATACTATTTTGGTGACTCAAGTTACAACTCACAGAGCTGCGTAGATTCCTTCCCCCTCTGTCTTGTTTTAAAAAGAGAGGTTACAAGATGGCACTCAGGTGCCCTGGATGGACTGTACTGTGATAAAATCAAACAGTAGATCATAAGATTTGCACAGAAGAAGCTAAGGCATGCACTGTACTGTAAACGGGGTTTCTAGGGAGATTACAGCTAGGAAAAGAGAAAAGCCATTCACATTCAGGCCTCGAGCATGGTTCATGGCTGTTTTAGCAATCTAACCTGAAACCTCTCTCTATAAAAGGAAATTTGTCTTTATACAGACTTCTTACAGTAAACGGTGGAGGTCTTGACTTAGCCTAGCTGATGAGAAAGAGGCTTCCACCAGACAATGGGGTGATTGGTTCCTCTCCCACCCATGTCCTCACAATTCTCTCTTTGTAGCCTGCCTCAAAACCATCTCCATTCTACCAGAACTTCCAAGAGTGCTGCTTCCATCCATGGCTTCTAAAATCTTGATAAGTTCGAACAGTGATCTCTTGTTTCCTAAACTTCCCAATGGAGGGAAAGCTTTTGTTGAATCACCAAATTTTAACAATTTCAGCTCCTGGAAGTCAATCAACAATGGGACCAACAATTCCGAAATATGAAAGAGTTATATGAAAGAAAGGTAGGAAACTCTTCATTTGGGATTTTCCTTAATCCCGGTAGGGTCAAAAAGATTTTTGTGGATCCCTAACTTCTGGCAAATGAGGGACCTAGTTCCATCATCTTGATTTGCCTCTTGGTACTGAGGGTGGATACAATGTCAGTCAGTTGCTGGAAATGTAGCCTTGGTTCAGTCCAAGCGTTCCAGTGAGTGCTCCCAGCTCTGAGTTGTTACCGAGGCTGAGGTTGGATTAGTAGTGGAAAGTCTACCAGAGAATCAGCTATCTTCCATCCAGTGGTGACAGTCAGAATGGAAGGGAAATGCCTCCTTCTGCTTCCTTTAAAGCACACGCCTGTGGAGAAGCTTTTTAGACACAAAGGAACCTTCGGGGCAAGTTTTTAATAGGTTAAAGTCATTATTATTTGAAAGCACTCCACTTTCAAAAAGACAGAAGAGAGAAAGTAAGTTCCCCTAAATAATTCAGAATGAAGAAAACTGATCACAGTAACGCAACGGTGCTTGCATTTTCTTCCTCATTTGATACTCAGAAGAATTAAATTTGGAAACAGGAAGATCCTGTCCCACGGCAGTAGTCTGGCTACCTCGTTCTATCCATCCTGAACCAGTCCGTGGCTCCAAATTTTAACGACAGTGTCCCCAGAAAGAATGTTTCCGCAGTTTCCCAGACTGGCCAGTGAACCCAGAGAAGAGAATAAGTACAATTGTCAAATTGGAGGAACCACTATGTCTAAGGTTCTAGCGTAAGACTCTATTTTGTCTGGAGGAGGAACAGATACCCCCGTCCTGGTGGGCTTGCCCTTTGTAGACGGCTCTACCCACTTCCTGATCACCTGCTGCCTCTGCAGTCTCTGCTCCGGCTCCTCCATTCTTTGGAAATAGAGGCGGTTTGGAGAAAGAAGGGGAGAGCAAGACGCCATTTGGGAATAAAGTGTGTGCGTTTTTTGTGTAGAGCAAACCCCCTTTAACACGCAAACATGCTGATGTGTTTTAGGGAAGAGCTTTTCCTTGGGGGACTTCCTGAACAGGTAGGGTGGGGAGCCCCTGTTCTCAAGTGCACTGGGCTAGATCGTGGTGTGATTGCCTGCAATTATCTCCTGAACCCCTAAGGTCCTGGAGCTGAAAACGAAACTAGCAGCCACAGAAGACATCCACATCCTAGAGAAGAAACAGAAACAAACAGAGGGCTACAGGCAGCTAGAGGTGAGTAGCCCGCGACTGGCCTCTAATTGAGCAACTTAGGGTGGTGAGAAACATCTCCTTTCTAAGGAACCACACACAGGCTCAGTGCGCTGGGGTGGGTGAGTGGGCAGGCTGTGCATTGCCTTCAGTGACCTGAAAATTAGAGGCCCGCTGATTGGGTGAGAACCTCCCAGGGCTTTGCAGCCTCTCCTGTGACTCCCTTTTACTGTTAATGACAAAGTCTCACTAAATCCTCCACGAGTGTTACCTCTCTTACCCAGAATTGGCTACTGACTCCAGGCTGGCCTTGAACCTGGTGTTCTCCAGTCTAAGTGTCCCAAGTGCTGGGATGTACTTCACCACATCCGGGTACACAGAACACGTTAAAAAAAAAAAAAAAAAAAAAAAAAAAAAAAAAAAAAAAAAAAAAAAAAACCACTTCACACTCATTATCTTATTCAGTATCTGGAGCCTAGCCTTGAACAGGTCAGTCCTAAGAACACGGGGACCTGAACCCCGGCTCCAGGCTGAAAGGATGAGTAGGGACGGGTTTCTTTTGATGCAAGCTTTTTCCTCAGTCGTTAGACTTTATGAAGTATATAAAAGTTATGCTAAATTCTAATGACGGCTCTCTGAAGCCATAGTAAGAATAAAAACAGGTGTATGTATTCTCACGGGGAGTCTGGCCACTACCGTTGTGAGGTACTGGCAATGTATTTAAACGTGCAGGAGTCTGACAATACTGTTAACAGAGCTTCTAGGGTGGGAGTCTGGGTCCTGGTGTCCCTGACAGGCAAGGCTCAGCCACTATCCTCAATAGGCAAATTAAAAAGACAATCATGAAAAGCAGAGGAAGGAGATTTCGTCCTGACATGAAGTTGACTTTTAAATAGAGGTGAAGAGGGGTCTACTACTAAGCGGTCCTGGTTAGGGCATGGTTCTTATCAGATACTGTCATGTCCTGCTTCAGTCTGCCCTGCAAGATGGTCTGACAAATTGTCGGCGCTCCACAAAATCTCTTTGGCTAGCACCAGGCTTCATTTCCAGCATGAGATTCTTGGGGAAATCCCAAATCCTCGGGGCGTTATCTCAGTAGTCTGACAGTCAACCAGGAGGGCATGAGTGCCTTCCCTGAGTGTCTTCGCTCCTGCCAGGAGCAATACCTCCCAGACCATAGGCCAGGTTTGCTCATCTTGCTGAGGTTACTGTCAGGGTGAACCAGGAAATGGTTGTGACAAGTCCCTTTCTGCCGTGAAGCACACACTCACTTCCTTCTCCAGCTACACCTTGGCTTGGAATTTCAGTAACATTTTTCTCATGTACTTGGGAGCATTTTCTAGATGTAATATAATAATATTCTTTTAACCTCTGCTAAATTAGAAAGTGATTGACTCATCTAAGTGCATAGGGTCAGCCTACGAAAGTAAGTGATAATGAGATGTTTTCACTTTCAAGGAAAATAAATTGCCTAGAATTGATTTCTTAAATTTAATAACTATATTGGAATATGACTGAAATAGCATTTGAATCCCTGCATTAGCTACTTTTGATCTTGAGCTATCTATAGTCTGCAATATTTATTTTTCTAGACTGGATTCTCATTAAGGATACAATTTACTCCACCAGATTTTGCTATCTTCTGTATAAAATGAAGAGCTGAGAGACATGAATTAGGACTTTCAGTTGTTTGAAATGGTGAATTTCTTGGAGACTGTCTGAGACACCAAGGCATGATGGCAGCTGGAAGGCTAGATTTCTGCCTTTTAATGGTAGTTGGGACAATGCTGTGCTCTGAATATTTATCTGTAGTAAAGGTCCTTATTGGTCTAAAATTTATTGCTCTTGTCCTGGGATAGAATGGAGCAGGGGGCCTTGAGCTATTTAGTACCAGTTTATTTCAGTGACTTCTTTTTTCTTTTCATTTTTAGGCCTTTTAAATGTTTATAACCAGTCCCTTAGGAACAGGAAGTAGATTGTTCTGCAGACCCACTGATTTGAGTATTGAATATGAGGATTAGTGTTTTAATTTTTTCCTCCCTGGGATCACCACAGTATCATTAAGTTTTGATAAAGGAAAATCCGTTCAGTAACCCTGTCCTCCAGGAATATTTTTTAAAGAAATGTTAGAGAAAACCTTACAGGTCCTATTTCCTTATGATTGGGGGATGACTGTCTGCTAGAAACAGCCAGTCTTTTAGGATTTCTGTCTTATCCTTCCCTTTGGTAATTTTTGATCCTGGCCATGTTTTCTTGTCTCTTTCTTCACAAGGAGAAGGAAAGCCTAAGGGAAGAATTGCAAGCGCTGAAGAGGGAGAATAAGCTGTTGAAGGAAAACAATGCTCTCGAGAGTAGGAAGAAAGAACATTATGCATGTGAAATTAAACGACTCAATAAGGTACCAGAGCAGGTGATGCATGGGGGGTAAAGTGATAGCCTAGGCAGCAGCTGAGTCCTGCTGGGTCACAACAGAATGGAGCCCATAGTGTACCTCTCTTGCATCTCCTGAGGACACTCTCTCAGGTTTACACAGAGCTCCTAGCCACAGCCTGCGGCCAGCCACATTTGGCTAGGGCACTTTAGGGAATTTATGTCCTTGCAAAGGACTGTGAAAAGGAGAAATGAAGAGAAATTATAGACGTCAGTAAGAATTTTTTAATTTTTTTAAGAACCACGTAATGGCACTGGGTGTTTGTGAACAATAGCGTGTCTCATGGTCAACCACAAAAGCTTCCTGAGGAAGCAAGCTGTTCTTTAAAGTGATGGCTATGGAGCTGGGTGTGATGCATGCATGATACATAGACGCATGCTCAAGGCTGAGATGTCTGTTGTCTGGGGAGTGAGCCTGATCCCACTGAGAGTAGGAACTGGTAACAGAAAGAGGCAAGGCTTTTGGGGCACACACGTGCTTTGTAGACAAGCTCAGAGGAAAAACTAGATTGTTGTAAAAGGATGATGATGAGTGTGTGAATGTGTGCATCTGTTTCTCTGTGTGTGTACATATGTATGTGTGTGTGTGTGTGTGTCTAAGTATATATGTGGGTATGTGGATATTGTGGGGTATGCATATATGTGTAGGTGTGTATGTATATATATGTATGTGTGTATATGTGTGATATGTGCATGTATGAAGTGTATATATGTGTATGTGTATGTGGGCATATGTTTGTGTATATGTGTATATGTATATGTGTGGGTTGATTAATAAACTAACATAATATTCTGGAGAATACAAACAATAGTTCAGCACAAAAACCCCATAGTGTTGTTTTCCCAGAGCTAAGCTAAAAGTAAATACAGGCATGTTGAAATATATGAATGAGTTGAGATCTACATCATTCAATTAGGAATTTCAAGACCAAAGTAACAGAAATGATCTTCTACAGCAAAAGAGAACAGCTGACAGCCTTCAAAATATGCTCAGTCCTGTAACGTTGGACTGCATGCCAGCCCATGCTCAGAGGCGTTAATAAAGACCCCGGGTGCGATGTGTGCTGGTATCATTGACAGAATGCTAACAAAGTAGATTCAGCATCAGGTCTGCTTGTAGCACAAGTCTATCTTGATATGCACCGTGTATAGGAACTGCCCTCAGATTCCAGAAGATGCCACTAGATCTCCTGAAGCCAGAGTTACAGGTGATTGGGAACAGCCTGATGTGAGTGCTGGGAACTAGACCTCAGGACTCTTAAGAGTTCAGATGCTTGGATTTTGTGATGAATCCTTTTCTTTTTTACTATTGTAATGAATATGGAGATATTTCTAGTATCCCTCAGAGCACAACTTTGGGGCCAATCTTTAGCTACCTGCTAACCCACTCACTCAGCAGAGATACAAGGTTAAAAATGAGAACAGGAACAGACAGTAACACAAGTAATTAAAATGAGCTTTTCAAATGTATGCTTGTACTCACTCAGTTCCTTTGTTTGGAATAAAATACCCAAGGATTTTTGCCAATATCAAGTTCTTACAGAAACGTTGGATACTTAACCAGAGTGAGAACTGAGACTAGTCAGCTAGTGCTGTCCTGCCCAACATTGGCTTGTCTGCCACCTCAGCGTTTTGGGAATGGATGGATTGTTTAGTGTGTCAGAACTGATAGTGAAAATGACTAATCTACAACAAGTTCAAGGAAGTTGGAAAGCACCAACAAATGCTGATTCAACTCACATTTCATTCATGACTCATTTTAAAATTTCCTGAATAGCATTGAGGGGGTAAACCAGGAAATTAAAATATGATATCTACAGAAGTAGTCTAGTTGTGGGTACTGGGCATTTCATTAGCACATTTGATCATTGTCATTCATTATGTCACCCTCTCTGGATTCTCTCTACAATCGTTAACACGCTTAAATTATGTCCAACTTTTCTGATTTTCCTTGAATTATGTAGCTTATACATGTTACAAAAGGACTGAGTGCCATTTCTGTTTCACACTCGTAAGGATCCCCAACACCATCATAAGTAAACAAGTAAATTAAGATAAAAACCACCTTACTTCACGACTTTGTTCTTTCTCTAATTTTCTCCTGGAAGAAGAAAAAAAAGATCTTTCTCCTGCACAGTTCTGAAATTTACACTCCTATTAGGCTAGGTGGTATGTGTAGATTCCAAGACACATTAGTAGGAAATTCAAGTGTGTTCAAGACTACAAGCTGGCTTTCCCTTTCTGCCTTTATGACCATACTGTGTAGTAGTGGGGAGAGTACACTGTCACTGAGATCATTCATCAGCCTCTCTAAGTTTTCTACGCTCTTCACAGAGAACATGAATTCATAGACCTCTGAGAGGGACCTTTTCTATGTCTAGAGTACTGACTTGACTAATGAGTAAGCTGTCAATTGGTGGTGCTGAGGAACTCATGGATGAGAGTGCCTATCACAATGTTGAAAATCATTTTTATTAAGCTCGTCATGAATTGTAAGTCTCCAAACAAGAGTGCATAATCCAAGTATGAACATAAAGCACTACAGGCTGGTGATAAATGATGAGAATTCACTAGCAATGACAAGTTTCTCTTTGCCTCCTCTTGCCATGGTGAAATCATAAAGTTATAGCACATATCATCACATATAGTCATGAGTAAATAAATGTTTTGGTAAAGCATAAATATGACTGTCTAGGTCAGAGAATAGAGTGCTGGAAAATGACAGAACAGAAGAGAAACAGCATGGCCTGGAGGCAGTGGTTGTACAAATGGTCAAGTGGTAGGGATTTCCTTGGAGATATGGAGTGGTTATGTAGCAGTGTTCTTGGATCCCCACTAGACCTGTGGATTCAGAATCTCTGGATACAGTGCCCAGGGAGGATATGTCTGCTTTCTTTGATACCCCAAAGGTTGAGTAACACTAAGGTCATTGTAAACCTCCTATCAACAATGTGCTTCATTTGTAACATAGGCTCTTCAGGACGCCTTGGCAATCGGGAGCTCTTCTCTTTCTGAGGGCTCAAGGAAGTGTAAAGGCAGGTGCAGCCATGCAGAGATGAGGCCAAAGGTGGAAAGTCACAAGCAGCAGGTAAGAGGCCGAGGCCGAGGCAGGAAGTGGTGTGATCATGGGGAGAACATAGGGTTCACTGTTTGTGTGCCTTTGGACATGTTTGCATGTCTTTTGATTAAAAAGGTAGTAAAGGTTTTCTTACTTAGAGTTTTTCAATTTTAAAACTTGATAGGAAAAATGGAGATGGATTATTTCAGCCCCACTGTTCATAGAAGAATTCACAAAAGAGGGAATTGAATTTCACATGGTGAAAGGGTTTTACCCAGGATCACTTAGTCAACAGAGTGGCAACTGCATTACCCTGTGTGAAATTCTGTCAGCGACGAGTCTCGAGAGTCTCATGTAGATATGCTGTATTTCTACAACACTATTATCTCAAACTCTGGACCTTTTCAGGGAATAGTAGCAGTAGGACCATTCCATTGTAGCTGCCAGCCTCTGGCTGGCTGAGCAGTAAGTATAGTCTATTAAATGGCACTTATTTGTATGCGTGTGTGCAAACACACATGTCACATGGTTTCTGTGGAAATCAGAGGAGGACATTTAGGAGGAGCTGGTTCTCCTTCCACTGTGTGGGTCTTGGGCATTAAACTCAGGTCTTCAGGCTTAGAGGCAGACCCTTTACCTACTGAGTCATCCTGAAGGTCCCAGTAAGTGTAGTCTGAAAAAGAATCCCTATCTCTCTGATGTACTCACTGGCAATTAGGCTAGCTAGATGACCAACAGTTTGCTGATAGATCTCAGCTTTGTCCTCCCACTGCCTCAGCATCTCTCCAGCTCACCAAGTGAACTTCATTGCTGCATCATAGGAAACAGACGATCTGCAAATTAAACTGTAAGGTTTGATCTTCTTTCCCAGCAAGGAAAAGTATCTGGGTAAATAGTTTAGTTCAGGTTTGATGCAGACAATGGCGGGTATACATTGGTTCATAATAGCAAAGAAGAAACCAAAACCCATCTCCTCTGTATCGCTAATGTCTTTAATTTACATTTTAACCATTTTTGTTTGTAACTGAACAACTATAATGGTCACACCACCGAGTGCCACATGAAATACATGTGGTGTATGGAATTCTGTGGCTTCACTTAGGAGTTATTGCCAGTTAGTTCTGTTTTAGAACTTGAAATAGTATTCAGTCATGAAAGCCCTTCACAGATACAGTTGACTTACTTCACCACAGCAGTGCCTGAATTTGGCCAGTGGTCCATGATCGAAGATAGAACAAAATAGTAAGTAAAGACAAGTTTTAAAAACCACCCATGTTGGCTTGGTCCTGCCTTAACTGAGTGTACCAGGATTTGCTGACTCCTCATGGGAGGCCTTACTCTTTTGGAGGAGGAGAAGGGGCGTCCTGGGGGGGAGCAGGAGGAGGGATGAGAGGGGGATCTGTGGTTGGTATGTAAAATGAATAATTTTTCTTAATTAAAAAAGACTAGCCATGCTTCTTTACATCTGAGCTCCAAATGTATGCTCAAGAATAAAGATTTGTAGACTGGCTCTCCAAACAACCAAAGATAAAATTATAATCATAAGTATCTCCATATCCACCATGAGGGAATATTCATGAACAGAGATTAAGAAAGCTTTAGATTGGAAAAACACAGATAGTACATTCTTTTAAAAAATAATTTAAATACCTAAGAGAAAAAAATAAGTTCTCAGTCTCTGTTGGAAAGACTGAACTCTCAGGTATAGGTTAGACCAAAGAACCTTTGGCAAACATATGTGTGTTCTTTTTTTAATTTCCTTTTCTTTTTTTTTTTAAACCTCAAGTCCTTTTGAATTCTAGTGATTAACACTCGGTATTTTAAGAGGTTATTACTGGGGATGAAATCATCTCCATACATTCTTATAAGGAGATAGAAACTACTAGAAATTCCTTTTACCTTAAGTATATTAAAGAATTACCCAAGACACTGGGTCCCAGACTATTTATGAAATAAGAATTCTTCTGATCTTTTTCTTATAATATTTGTCTTGGTAGAATTGAGAGTTTAACTACCTACTATGCAAATACAGGCAAATTGTTTTGAAGCCTTTTTCTTAGAAGGGTTGTGCTGGAATGTGTCTGCCTTCCAATGCATACATATTTATAAATGCCATGAACATGACAAGTGAAATCCCAGGTTTTCCTCAGTGGATTTCCAGAGTTAATGGAACTGGTGCACTTCCAAGGAAGCAGGTTTCGTGAAGAGTATATTAAATGTAAGCAAGTCAAGTGCAATAGAATATATTAAAAGTAGACTCAGGAAACTACTGTGATGAGTAAATACTGACGTTAATTAAAGAAAATGTAGCTAACGTCATGTTTCTATTAATTTTGAAGTTAACATACACTGTAAAGGATTTCATTATATTTCATAAATATATTCATCTGCCCCTCCTTTGCCTGTCTCCCTTTTCTGGTGTTCTTCCTCCTCAGATGCTTCCCTGCTCTCAGATGCTTCCCTCCTCTCAGATTCTTCTTTCTTCTCAGATACTTCCCTGCTCTCAGATGCTTCTCTGCTCTCAGATGCTTCCCTGCTCTCAGATGCTTCCCTGCTCTCAGATGCTTCCCTGCTCTCAGATGCTTCCTTTCTCTTATGTCCCATGCATTCATCCCATATGCTTTCTACCTCTGTCCTTTAAGATTTCTCTCCATCCTTTCATGACTTCCTTTTAATTTTAATCTTACACACACACACACACACACACACACACACACACACACACACCCCTTAAGTAATTTGATTTATACTTAAATAGCCAGAACATTTTCCTTGGAAGCTGTGTTATGCCTCCAGTGAGGAGGGAATTGGTGTGAGACCTGCTATGATGGCCATTTAGCTTCAAAACTTTTCAGTCTTGCAAGAAATAATCATTCTTTCCTTAATTCACAGTAGATTGTGAGTTAAATTTTGCTTTCTTGACTTTTTTTCCAGGACTGACATGAAATTCCCAATTTTACATATGAGTTATTTTGGCAGAACCATTTATAAGAATTTAGAAATTATTTTATGCAATAAAGAAAAAATTAAGTTAAAAGGGATCAAAATATAATTAGATAATTTTGTGAAAATCATTTATTCATTCTAATAAGTGACATAACAATGGGTGAGAAGTTCTAATTGTTCTTAGTGAACAAATTACTCTCTCATTTATTTCTTACATGGGAAGCTACTTTAATTCTTTTTGTTCAAGCATTAATTATTTTATTTCCTACCACATTTCATTCCTACTATATTGAATTCAGATTGGTGATAACTCAGTGCTGAGGTTTGGCAAGGTACTTTCTGTTACAGAGCTCTGGTCCAGTCAAGAACATATATCCATCTGTTTAACATTATGGAGAATGATTCACTATTAACTTTTATTCACATGATATCTGTAATTTTTTATTTATGTCAATAAAACAATTAGTTGTCTAAGAACAATATAGCATAATTGTGTTTGTAAACAAAGAAACATCCTCGGATCAAATATCTTAATTCTATCAGAATTGTTTTCAAACTATGACAGCCTAACATTTTTAATGTCTCTTTCATTGTTGTAAAACAGTAATAGAATTTATTAAAAAAGAAGTGCAGGAGACAAGTTGGTCTTGTTACATGTATTGACAGGGACATGTGACCATACTTTATAGTGATGTGGAGCATGGGGTGTAGGATGTCAATGATTTGAGTAACAAATCAAAAGCATCTTCTTCTGGGTGTGTCATATATGGAAGGATCCCAGGCTGTTGACTTTGCAAAATGAAGTTGGACCTTAAATAGTGAAAGGACAGAAAGCAAAGCAGTGTGACTCTGAATGGCATACCTTATCTATCACATGGTGCAGAGAGGTCTGGCGAGGCTGCTGACTGTACAGAAGGCGCACAGAGCAGTGGCAGTCCTGTGATAACACATACCATACTTCTCAACAGAGAGAGAGGGGGTCTCAGTGTCAGGCTGACCAACTCCCATTTCATTTAGCAAGCGATCGAAGTTTCTTTATTTATATCCAAATAGCTTTACCAAAACAGAATGAAATGACCTGACAAATTTGTATAACAACTTAAAGTTATCTGACTTTCTAACTTGCACTTGTGAATTTCAAGATAGAGTCAACATATCACAAGCAGGGCCAGTCCCTTTCTGTTGGCATTACTGCTAGCGACACACCCACCCTTGGGCTTCTGAGTGAGCAGTTTATTCATAGCTGGGTCAAAATCTCCTGAATAATATCTTTTTTCTGTAGATAAAATTTTGTCAGATGGAGAAAGAAAAACTAGAAAAGCAAGCAACTAAAATGGATGCCTCGGCCCATACATAAGGCCTCTTGTCTTTCATCCACAGGGTTTTTCCCCACATTTCCCGTGGTGCCAATGAAATCGTTTTTGAGTAATGCAGTAGATGGTCCAGAACCATCCACATTTTCACTAGTCCTAAAAATGTCAGTGAATAGATAGTACTTATGAATTACAGAGATCATGGAACCCATGTGCTTCTCAGAGTATATCACAGGCACACAGGATGTGTCAGTATGTTCTACAGAGATCATGGAACCCATATGCTTCTCAGAGTGTATCACAGATACGCAGGATGTTTCAGAATATGTTTTAGCAAATGCAGATTCCTTCACAAACCCACAAGCACCTGAGGAAGTCAATTCTTAGGTGATTCTCTCAGTCACTGACATAGTGTAGCCTGGAAAGCTGCAACAAGGACTTTGTCCCTAGAGAACAGAATGTCTTCCTGTCACTGAGGCATCCTGCTCTACTGATTTTCTAAAGCAGACTTTATTTCTCTTCATTACTAATTTCCTGCTGGGACTCTCACTCCATCATCTCTGTCTATATAATTTGCCTTTAGTAAGTCCCCTCTATGGAAAGAACTGACAAACAAAGCCATCTGCATGTACTTCTCAAGTGTTTCCAATTTCCTTATGATAGTGCCGTCTTGGGTAAGACTTACTTCATGAGACACTTCTATCATACCTAAGTTCTTATTGACATTTATTGTTTTGACCAAGTATTATGCTAGATTAGGCTAGGCCTTCAAATGTAAGCAAAGGCTGGTTGTATATAGCAAGTGTCGGTGTGACGTCTCAGTTTTACCGTCTTGCAGTAAACTGACACTATTGCTCTCCCCAGATGTGTCTCCCAGCCTATAACTGTGGCCTAGTTTTCCATCTGCAGAACCAACGGGTACCAAAAATCCCAGGGCCAGTACAGCATCCATGGGAGAATGCAGTGAGTAAGGATTCCTCTTCCAACATAGGAGTATATAGGAATCTCTTTTGGTAGAAGTGATGTGAATCTCTGAAATTAGAGCATCTCTTTCACATAACCTCTGATTTGCAGTGTTACCCTGGTCCATGTCCACTATAATTATCCTTGGAACACTGAACACACAGGACATATAGATATGAATAGATTAAGTAAATGATAACACATTGAGCTCTAATTTCTTAAAAAAACGTATTTTACGCGGGCCATTCTCAATTATCACATAGGATACCACCCAAAGTACATTTTTTTTCTTACATATAAGATGAACAAAGTAAATATAGCCAAACCAAACAACTGTGATGTTCCCTTCAGTTATAAACTGGTATTGAATTACTGTGAATATTTGTAGGTACATGCAAAAGAGTTTTGACCTTTTCCAGTTAAAACAATCGTCTTGGAAGATCCAAGACATTGTAGCTCACTAAAGTTCTTTGCAGGTGTGTTTGCCAGGACAGCTGAGTTATTATTTGTAAGTGGAATTGATTTGGACCATCAACCTAAGTCGGTACCAGAGTGTTCTTGCTGTCCTTCTGAGGAACAATATTCCCCACCCCTATGATCACTGTTTTTGATTCTACTCCGCTTTGCCAGCATGGGCAGAGTCTTCATCCATGTGGAAGGGACACACACTCTCTGCATCTTGGGATGACCAGACAACTCTCCCTGCCTAGAGGTTTTATGAACAATGTCTGTAACCATGCCCCAACTCTGATATTGAAGTAGGGTTTTCCTAGCAAAGCACTTAGAGAATTAATTTCTCCTGGTTGCCTGGAACCCTGGTACTTTTGTATTGGAGTACAACTAAAATCTTTCTCTTGTGGGAGCAGATGATGTCTGTCTTCTTTTGGACCTGCTTCTTTCCCTGATGTGGCCAGTTGCTAGTCGAATCTACTCGCTCTCTTTGTTACCCGCTCTCCTGCTCCTCAGTCTTCACCAGAAACACTTCTGGGTCTTTTCAACCTCAGCCATCATTATTTTAAAACTTTTCTTTCAAGGAGGTAGAAGTAAATTAAGTTTGTGGGAAACATAAGGAAAAAGAGTTAGCCCTACAGTTCGGGAAATCGGATACTCTTGTGAAATACAAGGTACAAAAATAATTCAACTTTATGTAGGAATAGAAATGGTTGGCTGCTGCTGTCAAACCTTCATTAACAGGAAGAAGGAAGAAATTCATGTCCTATGGTGTAGTAAACTTATCCTGTCGATTAGAAGAGGCAAGGAATTGCAGATCATAAAATTATCACCAAAAAAGGCCAATATTTGATTAAGGCACTGTAAAGGCTTACGTTTTAAACAGTATTCTGTTGAATGAAATCGGTGTAACAAAACCTCAAGGTGAGTTTTAAAAGATTAATTTGTCTTTCTTTATATCTAAGCCTGAATTAAATCACATCTAACAATGTTGGTAAGATTACACTTTATTACCTCCTTTTGGCAGCTCTCCTGGAGTATAAAGCTAGGGAGTACATCACTTATCCTATGTGTTACTTGAGACATCTAAAAATAAATGAGAAGATAAAGAAGCAGAGCTGATCTCATTTCCTCTTGTAGCTCTTTCATGGACCAAGGAAGTCAGGAGCCTAGGTGCCTGAGGGGTGAGGTTGGTTAGGCTGCAGGGGAGGCAGCCTTTCTTGGTAACTGAACTAAATAAAGGAGGATGGTTGAGCTTTTCTGCTACTTTTTGTATTTGCTATTCACTACAAATTGCCGTTGCGGCAGCCTTGCAAATTCTCCAAGTTGGCTAATTTTCCTTGCATTATATTTAGGAGAGAATTAAATAATTGTGCCCAAGCCTGCATTATCTGTGGGAGAATGGGAAAAAGGAAGCAGAGTGGGAGTGAGCAGAAAGCTAGACCAATCCTATGGACTGGAAGAGCTGGTGCTCCTTCATTCCAAGAAGTTAAATACAAAGACAGCGGCCTGCAATTTTCTTGGCAGTTTTGGACAGTAAGTGTCTTGCTGCAATGACACAAAATGACCAAAAGCAACTTAGAAGGAAAGGGTTTATTTGGTTTACTTATCCTGCATCAGGCTCCATTGAGGAAAGCCAAGGCAGGAACTCAAACTGGTCAGGAACATGGAAGCAGGAGCTGATGCAGAGGCCATGGGGGAGTGCTCCCCCCTGGCTTACTCCTGGTGGCTTGCTCAGCCTGCTTTCTTACAGAACCCAGGACTACCAGCCCAGGGGTGGCACCACCCACAATGCCTTAATTAAAATGCCCTACAGGCTTGCCTACAGCCAGATCTTATGCAAGCATTTTCTCAATGGAGGTTGCCTCCTCTTAGATGACTATAGCTTGTATCAAGTTGATATAAAACTAGCCAACACAATAAAGTATCATTTATTCAATGCAGCTGGTTTATTCCCTGATAATCAACATTTAAGTGCAAACTTAGGAAAGTTTAAGTGAGAAAAAAGTCTAATCCATTTAGTGCAACTGCTGTGTAATGTAGAGACTGCCTTCTGTGGAGCCTCAGCATGAGGGAAGCTTTGTCCTGCTTGGCCTCCTGAACTTCTGCTCACTGCATTCCCAAGACACCTGTACATTCTTTTGCAATCCATTAGAAAATATTAAATTTGTATTTTGTCCTTGGCTTCCTTATTCTCTATGAGTGAAGGTTTTAAAAATAGTATTTATTGACAGCAATGTGTTTTATTTCATTTGCAGGAGATAGTAAGTTTTTAAAAGTGTTTATAGTTCTTCAGAGATCCAGACACATCATTTCAAGACAGAGAGAGGGAGAGAGAAAGGAAACAGAGAGAGAGAGGAAAGGGATGTTTTAGATACTGTCTGTTGCTATGATAAAATACTGACTGAAACCAGCTTGGGGAGGAAAGGGTTTATTTGGCTTACACATCTGCATCACAGTTCATCATTGGAGGAAGCCATAGGAGGAGCACAAGGCAGGAACCTGGAGGCAGGAACTAAAGCTGAGACCATGAAGGAATGCTGCTTGCTCCTCCGGGCTTGCACAGCCTACTTTCTTATACCATCTGCCCAGGGGTGGCACTGTGCACAGTAATTTAGACCCTCCCACATCAGTTATCAATGCCCCATAGATATGCTTACAGGTCACTCCGATAGAAACAGTGCCTCGGTTGAGGTTCCCTCTTACCCTGTGATTCTACTTTATGTCAAGTTGACAAAACTTAACCAAGACAGAAAAGAGAGAGGTTGAGGGAGGGAGGAGAGAAAAGAGAAGAGAAGAAAGCAAGAGAGGGAAGAGGGAAAGAAGGGAGGGGGAGGAGGAAAGGGGCAGAAAATGTACATCTTCCAAGTCACTTGAATTCAAGCCAACCACGTGCAGAAGGGCTGAGATAAGGGGGTGAGATGAGGAAGATCGGCAAAGGTTTGTATCAAAATGACTCTTTTTGTATGTTGACTGCATCATAAAATGCACAGAGTATAATTATATCTTAATGTGTCACAATGCTTTTTTGAAGTCTGTATTTCTACAACAGTGCTTTATTTTTCCCCACAGCCAGAGTATCAGTGGAATGTCCTTAACCAGCTTCCTCCACATGTACAGCACAAGGCACATGGTAAGACCACAGCTTTAATGGGCATTCTTACATATTTACATAGAAATGGGATCTTTAGGGGAATGCCTACTTAATATCCAGCTGTACTAGGGAAGGACTTCCTGTGAAGTTCTGTCACACACACAACTCTAATTTGGTGGTCTGGAGTGAACTCCTTCAGACAATGTTGAAATGCCGAAAGAAATGTATGTTTCAATTCTCTCCTCTGCTCCTATTCCAGGCTCAGAGTCAGGGACTTAGAAATGAAAACTTTAAGTAAAGCCATATATAGTAACATCAACAGCATCCTGATTGTACCCCCAAGGGCAGAGGCAAACCCACAGCACAGGAGGATTTCAGGCAGACTGTTCATTGTGTTGGTCTCATGTAAACCAATAGCTTCAAACCCACTCTGTAGCTAAGGATGAGTTTGAACTCCTGTTCCTGCTATGATGTCCTAAGAGCCAGTATTACAGGTGTGCATCACCAAGACCAGTGAACAATGGGTTTCCAGGAGTGGGTAGTATGAACTGAGTTACAGGCAGAGTCCCCCTTTCATTCTCATCCATTTAAAGCCTTCTATGACACACACTGACTCCACCTTGTTCGTTTTGAGAGGTGATTTTTTTTTCTAGAAACCTCAAGATAAGCTCTGTAGCTTCAACTTGTACTTGAAATGTTATCACATTTAATTCAAAGCTGAGATGATTTTAGTTTTTAACATGTTCCACCCCTCCAGCTCTGCTATCTGCAGTGCGCATAGCCTCTCTCCTGGCCTAGCATCAATCAATGCCCACAGGTCTCTGTGGCAAATATCCCATGTTCCTGGCATCGCCATTACCGTAGAGACTCTACGGCCGCCTTTGCTCTCCCTTCACAGCTTCACGCCATGGTCTCTGAAAACCTCCTTGCAGGGACTTGGATCTTGAAACACATTGCCTGGCCTCAGCTGCTCTCTGAAACCACGGAACAGAGCAGGACTCCATGACACTTGCAGCCTTGTCTTCCATGCCTCTAACCCAGCACCACATGGATGACACTGCCAAGCTCTGCTGCCATCATTAGATACAACCTAGGATGCTTGGAGCACATGCATCAGCCTCTGTGCTCTGAGCCTGGGAAAGCTCTCTCCTGAGCTTCCACCTCTGAGGAACAGGAAACTCTCTCAGGTGCTTTCTTAGTCCAGGCTTTCTCCTTTTGTGTAAATTTGAATTTTTATAAATTGGAGCCTTTAACGAGTGGGTCTTATCTTGAAGTCACATTTTACATTGTTCCAGGGCCGAGTGCCATCTTTCTACTCAGTGGAGCTGCTCTACTGAACAAGTGCAGGTGCTTTGTTGTCTGCACTCTGTGTGAAACTGTAAGCTCGCTCACATTCCCTTCCTCAACCAAACAAATCAGTCCATTGTCTATAAATTCAACTTCACTCAAGTTCTCAGGACACAGCTAGAATGTAGTCACAGTCATGTTCTTTGTCAAAACATCACATGAATGCCTCCTAGTCCTTTTCTTTCTTTCTTTTTTTTTATTTTCGAGACAGGGTTTCTCTATGTAGTTTTGGTGCCTTTCCTAGAACTCATTCTGTAGCCCAGGCTGGCCCCGAACTCACAGAGATCCACCTGCCTATGCCTCCTGCGTGCTGGAACTAAAGGCATGCACCACCACCACCCGGCTAGTCCTTTTCTAATAGAGCCCTCATTCTCCGTTGAGATCTCATTGTCTTCATTTTTCTTAGCATTTTTATTTCCCAAGATCCCAGCAAAATGGCCACCAAGCTCTCCTCCAGGATTCTAGGGCTTTGTAGTCCAGAGCACCAAACTATTATCTGTTTCAGTGATAACGCAGTTCCAGAGACCCAAGAACTGCATTCTTATGTTTACACAGCAATCCCCCCAATTCTCTTGTAGGTACTAATTTTTGTCTAGTTTCTCTTCTGTTGTGATAAATGCTCTGACAAAAGCAATTAAAAAGGAAGGGTTTATTTGAGCTCACAGTTTGAAGTTATACTGTGTAATTATGGAGAAGTCACAGTGGCAGCAGTATGGGATACCTTCCCATGTACCTTCTACTACAGATAGATTATAATATAACCAGCAAGGTTTTGGGTTCCTTCCATAATGGAGAAATTTATTTGAAAGTCATATTGTTAACCAGGACCATTGCATAATGTCTGCAGTTTTGAAATCCAGCGAATTGCTACATGGTATAATTTTCCACTTTCTATCCGTCTGCAATGAAAATAAGCTATTATTTCCATGTTCAACACTTTGAGCCACTAGAAAATACAATATAATATAATTCTCTATAGAGAATTCACTAATTAGTCATTTATACATCACTACTAAAGTCCTCTTAAACCAATGTTATGGAAAATAATAGTCACATAAAATGTGAATTAGTTAATATATTCATAACTTAAATAAAATACATAAAATTAAATATATCATCAGTCAAATAAGATCTATTGACATATCTGCCTAAGAAAATGTAGTGAGCTTTGTGATGTATAAACTTGTAACATAACAGTCGCTACAAGAATAACATTATAATCAAGAGAAATACTTGCAATATACCAACTCCAGTAGTTTTATAACATTGTTTATTTTAATCTTCTGAGCAACACTATACTATGAATTTGTTTTATGCCAGCTCATATGTAAGGAAATGAGCTGCAGAGAATTTTAGTAACATTTAAATTTCACAGGGCAATTTAGCACTAAATTTAGATTCTTTTATACACAGGATTGCAAACCTTGGGATTTCAATTTCAATCAACAGTGTCTTTGAAAGCCTACTCCCATCTCTATATTAGATATGTGAAAAATGAGAATGGGGGCTCTTATTTGGATAATGTTTAATTCTCAAGAATTTCATCTCCCTATGAGCTCACAGCATGCATTATGGCTTTCTCTAAAATTTTTCATTATAATTAAAAAGTAATAAACTCATTCTATAAACAACACAATTGCTCCAAAGGAGGGGATAAAAACCACTATGTAACACAAATAGAAGGTATTGTATTTTCTTCGTCTGATATTTAGACTATCACAGGTAAAAGACATAGTGCTGTATATTATTATCAATGAACATATCATTACCTAACCAGTGCATGAAAGGCCTGGCAGAACCTCGCAGGCTGGCTGCTGTTGAAACCTGCCATTCTCTGTCCCCACACAGCCCTGTCACTGACTGTGGCTGGATATAGCAGGAGGATGAGTATCTGTGGGTTACTAAGTAAGTTCCTTACTTGGAATTAACTGCTTGTGTTCCTGCTGCCCCCTGTATACTCTGTAATTGTTTCAGAGCTCACATTAGGCTGTATTCAGGAAGTCTCTGAATTCGTCCTCATCACAATGATTCCTATGCGGTCATTAGCTTTACCAGTGTATCTTGCTGTGCTTTGGTTTATCTGACTGAGAGTCCCTTTAGGTCTGTAGTTTTAACTCAGTTGTTTAGAATTTTCACATAACAACTTAATGGCAATGACTACTAAGAAATCATAGGTTTAAATTTTTGATTATACATTATCTTAGCTTTGTTCCTGTTGCTGTGATAAAGGACCCTGACAAAAGCAACATAAAGGAGAAAGGAGTTATTTGGCTCACAGTTCGGCTTACAGTTCTAGAACAATGGATTAATCTCTGTCCTTCATTCTCCCTAGGACCCAGCCTATGCAATGGTACTGTTCACATTCAGAGTCGCTCTTATCACCTCAGTTAACCTAAATATGAAAATCCCTCACTGGCATGCCTACAGCTCAACCTAATCTAGACAGTTCATTGTTGAGAGTTCCTTCCCAGTTCATTCTAGATTATGTTAATTGACAATTAAAACTGGTCATCGCATGCATCTGATTGTTTAATGATAGTAGTCCTTGTTTTAGTATCTGACTAACAAATTTATCTACTATTCAAGAACATAGCATGTTTAGATTGGAAATACTAAGAATAAAGTGATGGAAGGGAAACTGAGTGAAAAAAATTAGATATTAGATTCTCTTTCAGATAATATATAAACAAAAGTTACTTCTTAGAATTCATGTATATATTTTTTTTTAATGTAAAAACTACTTAAAGTAGTTTACTTCTGTGGTCAGGAATGGCTCCTAGAAGTGTGACTATTTTTTATTTTTTATTTCTTTTTCTTTCTTTTTTTTTTTTTGGTTTTTCAAGACAGGGTTTCTCTGTGTAGCTTTGCGCCTTTCCTGGAACTCACTTGGTAGCCCAGGCTGGCCTCGAACTCACAGAGATCCACCTGCCTCTGCCTCCCGAGTGCTGGGATTAAAGGCATGCGCCACCACCGCCCGGCCTATTTCTTTTTCATAACTAATGTGTAACTATATGTGAGGTACAGTGTGGTATTTCAGCACACATGTGGTTCACACTGATCAATCAGAATGGTTAGCACTCTGTCTATTCACCATTTCTCAGGATCTAGAATCCTTGAGATCTTCTAGCTCCTCATAAGATGTAAGAGGTTGCTGTGTGCTCTGGTCACCCACAGTTCTGTGTTTTAATATCCACTATCCACCTTCCTGTATTCTCCCAAATGCTAGCCACCCTTCTTAGCATCTAGTGATTACTACCATACTCTCTTCTGTTTTGAGATAAAAGACTTTAGCTTTCATATGTAAAAGAGAACATCTGGCATTTGTCTTTTTGTGTATGGCTCATTTCATTTACCATAACCTTCAGTTCTATCCATTTGGATGTAGATGACAGGGTTTTGTTTTTTTATGATTGAATAATGTTTTATCATGTACATAACCCACATTTCTTTATCCATTTGCCCATTAATAGATGCATAGTGTCTTAGTTAGGTTTTTATTGCTGTGAAGAGATACCATGACCATGGCCACTTTTACAAAGAAAAACATTAATTGGGGTGGCTTGCTTACAGTTTCAGAGGTTCAGTCCATTATCATCATGGTGGGGAGCATGGCACAGCAGGGAGCATGCAGGCAGATGTGGTGCTGCAGGAGAAGCTGAGAGTCCTCAGTCTTGTAGGCAACAGGAAGTTGA